TTGCAGGCGCGGACGATCTAGGGCGCGCCGAGGACCCCCGGGCCGGCCGTGCAGAGGTAAGCAGTCATCGCGGAGGTGGCGGACGGGGGCGGAGACGGGATGGGATGCGGGGACCTGTCGGAGCCTTTGTCTGCGGCGCGCGCGCGGCCCCACTCCGCGCCGGCTCGGGCCCTCGAGTCCAGGGGCGCTGGCACGTGACCCTGGGCACCCCGAGCCCGCCACCCCACCCCTGTCCCGGGATGAGGGGACTCCCACCCACAACCCTTCCAGCATCCGGACCGGGCCGGCCCCCAACTCGCACATCTGCGAACACAGGACTTATACCCGGGAAGGGGCACGGGGCTTGGCACCACCTCCTTCTCCCCAGCGCCCTAAGGGCCCTTCCACCTGAAGTTCCTTCCTGGAACTCGCGCCACCCCGCCTCACGCCTCCCCCCAGCAAGCCCCCTCCTACCTCTTGGGAAAGCCGCTGGACAGACAAGGCGGGGCCTGTGCCGGGGGAGTCACCTCGCGGTGACCCCCCGAGACTGCCCCTTGCCTAGGAGCTCAGGCCTGGGAACCAACTTTATTCCCGGCAGGCAGAAGGGGATGGGGGGGCGGTGGTTAGGAGAAGGCAGGCTGCAAGACTCTGGAAACTGCAGGAACCCAGACTGGGAGGGTGACCCGGCTACCCCAGCTGCCGGCAAGTGCCTGTGGCCAGTGCATTCAGCTGTCCTCCGGGGCTCCAGAAAGGGGGTGGCTGGAGGGTCTTGAAACCCACTTTCCCATGGGCAGAACCAACCAGGAGGTGTTGGGGCAGTGCAGAAGGCTTGGCTATGGAAAAAGTAGCAGAGAACTCATAAGCTGGCCTAGGCACAGGGGCCCAGGGCCATCCAAGAGCGCCCAGCTGGCCAGGGCTGTGGCCCATCATGAGTGTGAAGCCCGAGGACAAGGACGTCAGCAGGCTGGATTTCCCCGTATAATTTAGGTTCCCTTGTCCCCTCTGCAGAGGTGCACTCTGGAGGCGGAGCACAGCCCGTGAGGGGTCAGCCTGGCCTTGAGGTCCAGATGCCCAGGGCCTCCACAGTGCCTTGGGGGGCACATTCAGAACCAATGTCCACTCGGTTACAGCTGAAATAGGGGGAACCAAAGGTGGTCAACCTGGCAAGGGCTCCAGTACGAACTGTGTAAGCCCTGGACTTGGCTCTCTGTGCCTCAGTTGCCCTTTCTTCAAAGGGGGGATAGTAGCCGGGTTTTTAGGACTGCTGGGATTGGGAGCTCTCTTGGGTCCCCAGTGCCCTGAAGTGGTGGCATGTGTGCCTGCTGAGCACCTGCTGTGTGCAGCCTTCCCTAACTATCACCCCGTTTGTGAGGTGCTCTCTCACCCTTCTTGTCCACAACAGGGAGATGGGGAGACTGAGGCCCAGGGGGTGACCTGTGGGCCAAAGAAATGTGCTGTATCTTCTCAGCTCCTCCCCAGGATGGGCACCGAGGGGTCCTGGCAGGGCAGGAGGGGCAGAAGAGAGCCCGGAGCGCTCAGATCTTTAAGCCCATGTGCATGTCCTTAAATTTTAATTAAAGGCGGACACCATAGGATGAGGGGTGGGCTGGGGGGTGATCTGAGGCTCTGGGCTGCTGGTGTAGAGCATGAGGGGTCTGGGAGGGGCGTGGGACGCCTCCTCAGTGCACCCTCCTGCCCCACCACTTTGTGCGGCCTGACCCCTGCTCAGGCCAGTGACATTGTGTCTGGGGGCCACGAGGCCGCGGCAGGAGGACCCAGAGCCCCCACCTCCAGGAGGGAGCCTGGAGGAGCACATGGGGACAGTGGCTGGGGTAGCTGGTGTGGGTGGCAGCTGCCTGCCTCATCACTGAGCCAGAGGGAGCGGTGGGGCCACCTCCTGGCTGGATGCTGAGCACGTCTGCCTTCCCAGTGGGTGGCGTGGCCTCTCAGCTGGCTGGAAGCCTCACATGGCGGCCAGGCGTGTCTGGGTGCTGCGTCTCCAGAACCTTTGCTGAACACAGGCCCAGGGAGTCAGGGTGCGGATGTCCTCCAGGGCTGGGCTCCCGCTCCCATCCTGAGCAGGTCATGAGGAGGAGTGTGCCATTGTTGTAGTGCCGTTCCTATCTGCAGAGGGAGGCTGGGTGGGCAGCCCAAGGGTCTCCAAGCCTCCAATGCAGGATCCTGCCTGAGGCCACTGTATTGAAATCCAGGCCAAGCTCTGTCCTAAGTCCTACTCTGTGTCCCAGCTCCAGATGTTGCAGGAAGCCCAGGGTTGGGGACTCAGGAAGAGCACTGAGACTGGAAGTGGAGGGGGGGTTACCTTCTGGCTTCCCAGGAGAAACCCCCACCTCTTCACTGCCCATGGGTGCCCCCCAACCGGTCAGCCCCCAGCTGGCAGAGACAGAATTTCCCAAGTCTGCAGGACCAGCCTGGAAGCAGGGATGGCTCGGCTCCCAGGCTCCAATCAAAAGTCTGGAAAGTCAGGAGAGGGGGAAACACAGGGCTGGAGGAGGCGCTCGGTAGCCTGGCTGGAGGCGGGGAGCGGGTAAACTGAGGCAGGAGGGCTGGAGGAAATGAGATGAAGCAGAAGAGGGGCGGTGGGCATAGCTGTGGGCCAACCTCAGAGGAAATCGGTGCGACTCCAGGCACGGGGACCCCTGAGGAAGTGGGCCACCCCTGGCTTCTCCCATGGCTTGTCCCACACATCCTTATGGGGCAGGGGGGCGGGAATGCAGAGATGCCACACTTGGCGCCCGTTGCTCTAGTGTCCCATCTCTGTGTCTCAAATTCTCTACAGTGAACATGTATCATTTTTGCAATCAGACAAATGAATGAGGTCATTAGAAAAACAAATTGATAAATGTTTTAGGGAAAAATACACACATAGACACACACAGGGTTACCCACACAGGGGGGTGTCTGTCCATCGTGGCTCAAGTCACTCCTTTGTTTCCTTCAGAGAGAAGGGTTAGCAGATTTGAATTGAGGCAAGAGAAACTGAGTCAAGGACTTGCTGTCCCTGAAGGTGGTTGGTCCCCAAACGGGGCCATGTCCACAGGCCTGGGCTCAGGTAGGAGCTGCCTGTGAGGTGTGGTGGTGGGGCGAGGAGCTTGTTCACCCTCTAACCCTCACTCTCCTGGGCTGCGAGATGAGTGAATATCGGCCCTCCTCCCAGAGGGAAATGGTGCGGTGCCATCTGTTGTGACTGTCACCAACTCCTAGCACGCCACCTCCACGATATTGCTCTGCTCCATCTATCTCTATGCCCACTGCCACCACCTTCATGCAGGCCTCCCACACTGCTCACCACTGCAGCGAGGGCGAGCTTCTTCAGGCACAACTCATGTGACATCACTCGTCTGCTTAGGTTCATGGGCTCCATCACACTGTTTCAAAACGGGTGGCGTGAATAGCGAGGGCCCGCCCCAGGGGTGCAGGCTTGGCAGCTTGGCAGTGGGGCGGGGATCCCCTTTTTGCTCCCTCAGCCTGCCTTCTCTCCCCGCAGCACAGGCGGCCATGGGCTCCGTGGGCAGCCAGCGCCTCAAGGAGCCCAGCATGGCAGGCACGCCGGACAGGAGCGTGATGACGAGCTTCAGCTTTGACAGCTGCCAGCTGGAGGAGGAGGTGGTGGCAACAAGGACAGCTCCAGGCCAGGGTGGTAGGGCCAGGGGCGCCCCAATTTTCACGGACTGTGGTGAGTGAGGGTGCAGGCGAGGTATGTGTCTGTCCCAACGCAGGGATGGGCCAGGTGAGCCGTTGGGAGCCATGGTGTTTATTGACTGGGGGTCCGGGCCATTGATCAAAGGAGGCAGCATGTGTCAAGATCGATTAGGTCTGAGGCAGTTAACAAACAAGCCCTGCGCCTCAGTACCTTCAGCCTAATGCCGCGTGTCCAGTGCGGGTCACGGAGCCAGGCTGAGGAGGCGCCCCCTGAACATGCGCTTCCGTGACCCCTGGGAGGTGGAAGGCACACGGTGACTCATGCACATAAAACTTCTATCTGAAGTGACACAGGTCGCTTCGGTCACATTCATTGGCCAAAGCAAGCCATGCTTCACTTCAGTGGAGACGGGAACATACCTGAAAGGAGGACTGATGTGAGGTTCAAAGGCCTGGGTTTTGTCCCAGCTGTGTGACCTTGGGCAAGTGTCTCAACCTCTCTGAGCCTCAGTTTCCCCACATTGAGGAAATAGCCAGTTGCCTGTGAGATCAGACTTGCAGGTTGGGCAGCATGTGGGGCTGGAGTCAGGCAGATTTGGGTTCAACCCCAGTTCCCATTCTGTTGTTTGGGGACTTCAAGCAAGCCATTGTCTCTGGGCCTCGGTCACTTCATCCTGGTGCCACCCTCAATGTGGTTGCCACAGAATCCACAAAACATGGCTTAGGACTGCCCCCGACACTTGGGAGACTCCCTCCCCCCAGAGTGATAGCTCATTTTGGGGTGGTTCTGGTTTATACTAGTACCACTTCAGGCTCAGAAATGGGGTCTATGGTGCGGAGGACAGCCAGAGTGGCTGTGGCTGTGGAATTCATGACGGTAGGTGCCATGGTGGACTGCAGCCCTGGTGCGGTGGCCGTGGCCATGACTCAGCTTGTCCACTTCTCCCCCGGTGTCGGGCTGAGCAGCGGAGGAGCCAGTGCCTGATGACCGCTACCACGCCATCTACTTTGCGATGCTACTGGCCGGCGTGGGCTTCTTGCTGCCGTACAACAGCTTCATCACCGACGTGGACTACCTGCATCACAAGTTCCCAGGTGGGTCCCCCGCAGTCACAGTCTGCCATCAGAGGCTGCCCGGCACACTCAGCCCTGGCCACCACCCTCCAGAAACCCTGTAGACAGTACGTTGCCTGGGGATCCCACTTTATTCAAATCCTGGCTCAGCTGTGAATTGCTGAGTCACCTCAGGGCAGCCACCCTCTCTCTCTGGGCCATCAGTGTGACAGTAGAGATCATGGGGCTGTGGCCCTGGCAGCCATGGCTGTAGAAGTGGATGGTGGCCTTGGTGACGGTGGCTGGGTCAGTCAAGGTTCAGCCAGAGGAGGCATCGTGAGGAAGCAGTGGTAGCTACTGGCGGGGTAGGTACAGAGGGTGGGGGTTCCCCCTGAGCACCTGCTGCTGGCTGGCCCCTGCAGGGACCTCAATTGTGTTCGACATGAGCCTCACGTACATCCTGGTGGCACTGGTGGCTGTGCTCCTGAACAATGCGCTGGTGGAGAGGTTGAGCCTGCATACCAGGATCACCACAGGTACACCGCCCCCAGTCCCGGGCTCCCAGCGCTCAGCCACACCCCTGTTTCCCTGCCCTTCACTCCCCTTGTCTGTAGAATGGGGACACCTCCTAGGAATGTGATGGGGCTCCGCGTGTGAAAGTGGGGTCAGGCCTGCAGAGGGTGCACCACCTGCTAGCATGTTATCTGCCCCTGGGCGGGCTTGTGTGCCCCACATCATGCCAGGGCCCAAGCTCTCCCCTCAGCCTGCTCTCCCTTTCCCACGCGTCTCTATGGAGACACCCAGCTTCAAGGCCCAGCTCAAACAGCGCCTCCTCCAGGAAGCCTTCCAGATGCCCCTCTTAGACCCCTAAGGTGTCCCCAGCTTTCTGGGAATTAAGGGGAATGGCAGAGAGGGCACCCCAGACCTGGCTGTACGAGAGGGATGGATGAGTAGGAGCCCCCAGCCCACCGCTCACTGTCCTCCTCTGGCCTGTCCCCCCACAGGCTACCTCTTGGCCTTGGGCCCCCTCCTGTTTATCAGCATCTGTGACGTGTGGCTGCAGCTCTTCTCTCGGGACCAGGCTTACGCCATCAACCTGGTTGCTGTGAGCACCGTGGCCTTTGGCTGCACAGGTAGGGACCGGGGAGGGGGCGGGGGGCAGGCTGAGCCCCAAAGTGCCCATGGCGCCCATCCCACCCCAGCCCTGTTCTCCTGCTTGGGACATATTACATGAGGCGAGTTGGGCTTGGTGCTGTCTTCCCCACTCCTCTCCATGGTGACTTCTAGCCCTAACGGCACCTCCTCCAGGAAGCCTTTGGGTATAAATGAAATCAAGGCTTCCTGAAATAACAGCCTCAATCCAGACAGTGTACTCGGGTCTGTTCTGTTCTATTTTGTTAAAGAACAAATGCTGGTGGGGACCAGGAAATCGAAGCTTGCCAGACCTGCTCAGGGTCGACATCTAGGCAGGGTCTTGCTCGACTGTGGGCTGTGAGCAGTGTGTGCTTGTTTTCCCTGGATGTGTCTGTGGTGGTTAGGATGAGAGAGGTTATGCTGCAGCGACAGAGGAGCCTAGAAATCTCAGGGGATTAAAAATGACTTATCTCTGCCTCTTGGCTTTGTGTCCAACACATCGATGGGACTCGACCCAGTCACTCGGGGACTCAGGCTGATAGTGGCCCCATCCGTGATACATGGCCTCTTCAGTCACCGCCACTGGGTGAAAGATAGACTGGAAGTCCCTGCGGGCTTTTCTCTGCCTCATCCAGAAGTGACATGTGTCATTTTTGCTCATGTTTCATTGGCCAGAACTAGTCAAGGTGCCTGGCTGGCCTCAGGCGGGCATGTGGATGGCAGCACATGCACAGTTTGGTGGGCACTGCTGTTTCCACCACGCCCTGCAAGGCGGTTGGACCCAATCCCTCCGCCCCCGGTGGTGGTAACGTCTGTGGTGTTAACACAGTGTTCTCAAACTTTGAAATTTTGCTCCAAGCTGACAGGTGATGTGTTGTCTCACGGTTATTCCTCTCTCTCTATCTCTCTCTCTCTCTGAAGTGCAGCAATCCAGCTTCTATGGGTACACGGGGATGCTGCCCAAGAGGTACACCCAGGGGGTAATGACTGGGGAGAGTGAGTATCTGCAGACCCTAGGAGGGGGCACTGGGAACCCCCATGATGTGCCCCATATTAAGGCTGGACTCACGAGCTCTGGGCCTGCCTGGTTGGGGACAGCCGCCTTTGTGATGCGAGAGGCATGTGCCTCTGAGCATGAGCCTAGTGTCTTGGCGGGTCTTGTGCCTGCGTGTGGCGTGCATTTTGTGTGTCTTTGTGTGCATGGGAGGGGTAAGCCCACACGTACTCGTGATGTCAGTGCCACACCTCAGTACCAAGCTCTCCTTGGATTGCCAGACCCAGGAGCCACCCCTGCCGGGCACACCCACTCGGCTTCTCAACTTCCCAAGCCCACCCGCCCCTGCTCAGTGAATGGCACCCCATGCTCAAACCCAAAACTTGCCCTCCGGGCTGATTTCTTTGCTCCAGCCCCTGGCCAGGGGGCCGCCTCCCCGTCGTGCCCTGCCACCCCCTGCCCATTAGCCTGGCCCCATACTTGAGGGCCCTGCTCTTGGAAGCACCTGCATCTAGATGTCCCCGATCTTCCTTCCATGCCTGGATGGGCCAGGGTCAGCAGTGCCGTCCAGGCAGCCCACCCCCTTCCTTTCATCTCCTCAAACATGGGCACACAGAGCTCCTGCCCGCCCCTGCCAGGATGTCCATTCCCGGGGGGGGGACAGTCTGCTGCCCCCGCCATCATGCACTGTGTTTGGTGTTTTTCTCGCTTGTTTGCATCCTCTCCCCACTGAGCCCCAGGAAGGCAGGGCCCACACTGTCACCCTCACTGTGTCCTCAGCAGGCACTCCATAAATGCTCCCGGGGGCAAGTGAGCAGCACCAGTGCCGGGAGGGACGGTCTGGGTGGGCACCTGTGTCTCCAGGGGCTGGGCGGGGCCGCATGGGGGCCCCAGGCCCACCGCCCGCCCCTCGCAGGCACGGCGGGCGTGATGGTCTCCCTGAGCCGCATCCTCACCAAGCTGCTGCTGCCCGACGAGCACGCCAGCACCCTCATCTTCTTCCTGGTCTCCGCCGGCCTCGAGCTGCTCTGCTTCCTGCTCCACCTGCTGGTGCGGCGGAGCCGCTTCGTGCTCTACCACACCGTGCGGCCGCGCGACAGCCGCCCCGGACACAGGGCCGGCTACTGTGTGCACCACGACGTGGCCGCCGGGGACGTCCACTTCGTAAGTCCCCACCGATGTTCGGGGAAGGGGCCAGGTACTGCCTTTCCTCGATCCCAGCGGAGCTCCCCCAGAGTGGACCCCTCGGGCTGTGGTCTCGGGCTCCTCCCCACGGGGCTGCCTTCCTTCTGTGGACCAAGATTTCATCCCGTCGTAGCAACAAACGTCTGTGGCCTGAGCCCCACCCGGCCGGGACGGCCCCTGGCTGTGGCCTGAGCCCCACCTGGCTGTGACGGCCCCTTTCTGTGGCCTGAGCGGCACTCTCAAGCCCTCCCCGGGGCCATCCTGGGGAGCTGGGCGCCCTCTGGTGGCGGCAGAGCCACATAGCCCCCTAGAGGGCCCAGGGATGGTAGGTGTAGGGAGACCTGAGGGCACCTGCAGGAAGAGGTTCAGGAGGGCTGAGCCACGCGGAGGGCGGGGCAGGGAGAGCCAGGTATGCTCACAGATGTTGATCCAGCAAGTCACCTGGGCCCTTGGCAGGTGTCACTGCGATGAGCCAGAGACCCGGAGACGGGCAAAGGGCAGCGTGCTGTGACAAGGCCCACAGCGGGAAAGGACAGAAACTGGGGGCTCCCTTAATGATCAGGGAGGTTTCCTGCGGAGTGGCTTGTGAGCTGAGACCTGACCTGTGTGAGGGGGGAATGTGAAGACGCATGGGAGGGCGCTGGGAACAGGGCACAGCTGCAAAGCCTTTGAGTCTGGGTGAGGCTTCTGTGCTTGAGGGACAGTAAGGAAGTGGGGGGGGGCAGGGGGCCGTGCAGGGCCCCCCCACCTAAATTCCATCCCTCTCCATTCTCCCTCCAGGAGAACCAAGGCCCAGCCCTGGCCAACAGTGGGTCCCCAAAGGACAGCCCAGCCCACGAGGTGGTCATCGGTGGCCGGGGAGCCTACACGCGCTTTGATGTGCCTCAGCCACGAGTCAGGCGGAGCTGGCCCTCTTTCAGAGGTGGGGGGCGGGCTGGGCCCCAAGCTCGCAGCAGTGCCACAGGCACCCTTGCACCCCCGCGGGCCCCGTCGTCCCTTCTGCACATGGGTGGTGGCTGGCAGTGGGCTAGGGGCTCTGTGAGGCTCTGGCCCTGACCCCCAGCCCGCTGCCCACAGCCCTGCTGCTGCACCGCTACGTGGTGGCCCGTGTCATCTGGGCTGATATGCTGTCCATCGCTGTGACCTACTTCATCACGCTGTGCCTGTTCCCGGGTCTCGAGTCTGAGATCCGCCACTGTGTCCTGGGCGAGTGGCTGCCCATTCTCATCATGGCTGTGTTCAACCTCTCTGACTTCGTGGGCAAGGTGGGCTGCCCGCCCCGCCCCTGCCCCAGGGAGTGGGGAGAGGACACTATATGGGGGGGCCACAGACCACCATGCAAGCCATGGGGGGTGGTCCCTGAGCTGAGGATTTGTGTGGCTCCTGGGTGCGGAGGGTAGAAGCCAGGCAGTGGCACCATCCCAGACCACAGCTGTTGAGAGCAGCCCTGATGGACCAGCCCTGGAGTGTCAGCTGTGTCACTGAGGCTCCCATTCTCCCACCCACGCCACTAGTTAATGAGTCTCTGACAGCACAGGTGCAAGTACCAGAAGTACCCTAAAGAGGTAGGGGCCCCTAGAAATGGCTGAAGGGGCCACAAGAATCTGGGCAGAGCATCTTGTGCCATGAACGCAGGGTGGGGTCGGGTCAGGGCTGGAGGAAGGTCAGAGCTGTCAGTTCTGGGGCAGTCCTGCCATGGGCCTTGTCTAGGTGAATGGAGAGTGTGAGGCTCAGAGAGGAGAAGCCATTTGCCTGAGAGCACACAGCTGAGAGGGCTGAGAAACTCGAGTGTCTCCAGGTGGGCTCAACTCTTGATCCCGCTACTTCCTGCTGCGCGAGGGACCCTGACCCTCTGGGCCTCAGGGTCCTCATTTCTCAAAGAGGGTCAACGGCCCACCCTGCGAGGGCTCTGTGAGGATTGAACGGGGACCGTGCAGCGTTCTGATGGGTGCTGGGCACACAGCAAGGACTGTTTTGCTGTAATGGGTTTGGTGGGTTTTCGTGGACAAAGCTGGGAAAAGACATGACAACCTGAGTCAGGAATGTCTTGGGACAGGGACCGCGTCTGGAGGCTGCAGTGGAGGCCTGCGGGTGTGGGCTTGGGGGAGGGGAGGGCCCACAAGCCTGGCTCCCGCCCACAGATCCTGGCGGCCCTGCCCATGGACTGGCGGGGCACGCACCTGCTGGCCTGCTCCTGCCTGCGAGTGGTCTTCATCCCCCTCTTCATCCTGTGCGTCTACCCCAGCGGGATGCCTGCCCTCCGCCACCCGGCCTGGCCCTGCGTCTTTTCCCTGCTCATGGGCATCAGCAATGGCTACTTCGGCAGTGTGCCCATGATCCTGGCAGCTGGCAAAGTGGGCCCCAAGCAGCGGGAGCTGGCAGGTAAGCCCTGCTCAGCCAGCGCCCAGCCTGCCCAATGGATTCCTCTGGACCATCAGCGCCCCACCGCCAGGCAGGGAAACTGAGGCCCATAGAAGCCAAGGCCACATAGCCAGGAGGCACATGTGGGTTCCAGAGGCCACGTCAACCTCAGGGAGTTCGTAGGTGTGAGGACATTCATCAGTCACTCCATTTCACAACTACCTGGTGAGGTCCTGCTGTGTGCCAGGGGTTGTACTAGGTGCTAGGGACACAGGGGTCACAAAACAATGATCCCTGTGCTTCTGGGGCTGACAGTCCAGAGGTGACAAATAACAAAGAACAACAGAGAACAATAAAGCAGAGAACTGGGATGGGGGGGTCAGGGTGGGGGTTTACAGTGTAAGAGCAGCCTGGCAGGAAGGCTTCACTGAGGAGGTGACTTCAGCAAAGGCCTGGCAGTAACAGAGAGGGGCCCTGTGACAGTACACAGAGGAGCATGTGTAAAGGCCCTGGGGCAGGAGCAGCAGTATGTGCCGGGGGCGGTGGAGGTGGGAGGCTGGATTCTCAACCTGTTTTGATGGTAGAGCCCGCAGGGCCCACTAACACACTGAGAGCTGGGAGGTGAGAAAGGGACGGGGTCAAGAAGGACTACCAAGTTTGCGGCCTGCCGCTCAGGGCAAGAAGGTTGTATTGCCGTCAGCTGAGATGAGGAGGAGTCTTTGGTGGGGAAGGGGTGCCACAGTTGGGCTCTAGACACAGTAGGTTCCAGAAGGCCATTAGACATCCCAAATTGTCGATGACAACAATGCAGCTGGAGACGGGAGAGTGGAGATAAAGAGAAGCAGGCAAAGCCTGGGACACCTTGCATGTGACAGTCCTCAGGCAGCCCCCTCCTGGGAGCTGGCACCTGTTACCACTTCACACCTGAGAAGCCAAGGCTTCAGCTCCAGCCCTTTGTCAGGGGGCCACCGAGTTCATCCTTGTGGATTCCGGGTTTGTCCATGTGGATCTGGCTGCTGTGGTCCTGTGAGAGCCGCTCGCTGCCCCTGCCCCCACTCCCCCGCTCAGCTCCGGTCTTGTCCGCAGGGAACACCATGACTGTGTCCTACATGACAGGGCTGACACTGGGCTCCGCCGTGGCCTACTGCACCTACAGCCTCACCCGGGACGCCCACAGCAGCTGCTTCCACACCTCCACCACCAACACTTCCTTCTCCGCCGGCCTCTAAGCCAGCTGGGCCCGGCCTGCCCAGGAAGGGCTGCTGAGGCCCACACCAGGGACCCCCCAGGCCTGAGGCCCCCTCCCCGCCCCTGCCTGCAGTGCCTGTGGGGCCCTGGCCTCCTCCCCATGTCAATAACACCACCCTCTCTAGGTCCAACCGCCCGTCACTGCGGCCCCAGGGTTCTGCCAAGTTCTTGGAAGCCTGGGACGTGCTGCTGCCACCCGGGGCTCCGCCCAGCACTGTGCTCCTTGTCCTGTCTCACACCTTTCCCTCGCCCTCCATCTGTGTCCAGTGGTCCCAGCTCTAGCCAGGCCAGTGCTCTGTGAGGTCACTCACAGCCATCCCCACCCAAGAGAGCAGACCAGCCAGTGTCCCTTCTAGCGACCCCCATCCCCAGGTCAGCTTGGAAGGTCCCATGGCCCCAATCACACTGCCCACGGCACCTGACCCAGCCCCTCCTTATAAAACCTCAGAGGCCCTCAGAGGAGAGGGCCAGTCCCCAGCCTTGTTACCCATAGGCCTCTCTCCCCCTCCCCCCAGCCTTAAACCCTGGTTCTCCCAAACAAAACACATTTGCTCTGGAGGTATTGTAGCCCAGGTCTGAATGGCGTCAGACCAGTCTGTGCTGGCATGGGTATACCCACCCCATGCCCGGACCCCTCACGTACCCTGGCACCCACCTGATGCCACAGGCCTGGGGATCCGTGCCTGACCCAGGACCGCCGTCAGCTTTCTGGCTTCTCTGCCTGTCTGTGATACAGGAAGAGGAGTTTGCAGCCCCCACAACCCTGATTGAAGTCAGCTCTTGGCCGATGTCTTGATCCCCATCCAGCAAGGCCCAAGGAGGGGACTGAGTCCCTGACAAGTAGGGGTAGGGGTCTCACCCCGGTCTGGACCCTCCAGTGCTCCAGGTTGGCCGAGCTGAGAGGATCCTGGAGCGTCCTGCCAAAGATGGGCTTTTCCAGGGGAGGCTGGCCGGCCCTTCCACACCCAGCACAGCTGTGACTGCCCCTCCCGTGTCCTGTCCACGCGTCTGTCCACTAACTGTACCGCACTGGCCATTAAAAGATGAAGGCAGAGAACTGCCTCTGAGTAGTGTCTGCAGGTAGAAGCTGCCGCCATCTTGTCAGCCACCGGGATTGGGGGGAGGGGCCCCACAGGACAAGGCCCACCTGCAGAGCTGGGAACCCAGGCTTCCCATCTGGAAAGTGGTCCTGCCTGCACCCAGGCCTCAAGTTTCTAGGGGGCGGGGCGGGATAGGTCAGGTAGCAGGGGGGTCTCCACACACCTGCTAGGCCTGCGATGGGCTTGTGGGGAGGAAGTGGGGGGTGGAGGTGAGGACTGGAAGCATTTGGGATTTGAAGGCTCTCAAATCAGGGAGAAGGGCTGCATCCCACCCACTTGAAGGGAGAGAAAAACGGGGGGCAGCTTGCCCCCTGCCCCCAGGGACTCAGAGCCAGCGCCTGAGGCTGAGCGTCCTGGGCTCAAGGCCCCACTCTATTGATTTGTGTGATTTGGACAAATTCCCACGCTCTTCTGTGCCTCAGTTTCCCCAAGGAGTGGGGTTGGTCCACTCTTGGATGTGGGTTCTTCGGAGGAGGGTTGGGGAGGCGGGCTGGCCGCCCAAGGGCTCGCCTGTGCTCCAGGCCTGAAGTGACGCCTTGGGGACCCACCCACAGGAGACGCAGGCAAATGCCAGGGCAGCCAAGTGGGCCAAGTCCGCGCAGGTCGATGCCAGCGGGAGACACCAGGTGGCGCCGGCGCGCCGCTGCTCCTGCGGCTCCCGGTGTAGGAGGGCCGCCCACCGCCGCGTGACTCAGTCGCTATGAAACGGGAGGCCCGCCCGAGCCCTTGACCTGGCCAGACGCCGCCTTCCTCGAGTTGATGCTTCTGCTCGCCACGCTGTTCCCACCACCCGCAGTCATGAAACAGCAAAGCCCAGAATCTCGTTTGCACTGGGCCTCCGGGAGGGTACCCATGGGATCAGGGTGGAGGCGGACCTCAGGGAGCAGAGGGCGGCCGCGCCAGGACCAGGGCGCAGCCCCTCCAAACCACCACCGGGGCGCCGACACGCGGTCTCCGCACTGGCTCAGCGCCACGCAGCGCTCCGTCGTCGTCAGCTTCAGGTGTGGGCGTGGCTGGGAGCGCGCAGCTCCACATTTTCAAGGCAGGAGAGGCACGCCCTCCGGCCCGCATTGGCTGAGAACTTTCTGCGCCGATGGACCGGTCCTGTACCTTGGGCGCCTCGGGCCAGGCCCGGCTCTGCTGACCCACCGGAAACGCTGCGGGTGCAACCCAGAGTCTTCTCCTTCCCTTTCATTTAAATTAGCTCGAACTTAAATAGCCACATGTGGCCGGCGGCACCCAGGTCCTGCGCTGGAATGTCAGCAGCCCCACCCCCACCCCCACCAGGAGCCACATTCTGACACCAAGCCCACCGCAGCCCCCGAAATAAACCACTCCAGACAACAGTCTTTTTCCAATTATAGCTTTTTTCTTTTCTTTTTATGAAAAAGATCACACAGAATTCGCCAACAAACAAAATTCCAAAAGAAACTTAAAAAAAAAAAAAAGGAAAACAATAATTCCCCCAAAAAAACAAAACCGAAGTCTGGCTTTTCCTTCCCTTAAGATTGTCTGGACGAGGCCTCTGTCTCCCTGGAGGGCTCGGGGCTGGTAAGTGCTTTCGTGAGCAGAGGGCCCACAGCCTTGGCAGTCCCTCCTCTCAGCCTCTGCTCTCCCTAACTCCTTCTCCATCTGGGGGTGAGTACAGTACACCTGGGCCGGGGTGGCGGGCGGGTGGGTGTGCTTGGGACAAGGGGGGCCCGTGAAGCTGGGTGCTAGACACTCACAATCTAACAGGAAATAAAAAATAATATTCTGCACGTCAGAATGTGTTCGCTTTTTTTTTTATAATTTCATAGCTATTTTTCACAGTTTTAAAAAGTTTATATTTATATATATTTATATATATTTATCTTTATATATATAATTAAAAAGTTGACTCCATTTAAAGGCGTATGATACAGGGAGAAGTCTCTCGGTACAATAAAACTGTACAGGTTAAGGACTGCCGCCTCCCTCCGGGCGTGGCCGGCATGAGGGTTTCAGCACCATTGGGGTTGTCTGTAGTGTGAGGGTCTGGACCAGGCGGGTGGGCCCTGGCTGGGGCTTCAGGGCACGCAGCCCCCTCCACCTGGAGTCTGGCTGACACTGCCGGGCTCCCCTCACCTGGCTCTGTTCCCCAAGTCCAGGCCATCCTGAGATGGCAGAGGCCGGGCCCCTGGCAGGAGCCCAGTGAGGCTGGTGGGCATTGGGCCATCCCAGTCCCACGGTGGGCCGCTTAGGGTGGGCTCCATGCTGAGGGGGCTGGGCACTGGGATCCCAGGGAGGGCCCACAAGCAGCAGGAACCCCAGAGCAAGTGTCAGTTTGGTTCCTCAGAAAACCCCTCTGTCCACATCAGCCAGGGGGCACCGGGGTCCTGGGGCGTGACCTGCCCAAGTGCTTACAAGGTGCTGAAGGGGAGGCCTGAGGGGGCCAGGCAGAGCCATACCCTGATAGCTGAGAGGAGCTCCCGTCTTGGGAGGCACCGAGGGGTTTGGAAAGGGGGACTAGAGACGTGTGCACATGTGTGCACACACGTGCATGCATACGGGGCACACACATGTACACACTCACGCGCCAGGGCGTCCACGGGCACACTTGCATGCACACAACCAACGCACGTGGCCCCCAAGCCTGGCAGTGATATGGAGGTCCCAACAGCCACAGGCGCTCAGCAGAGCACGGGTACACCGTCAGTGGAGAAGATCATGCCCGTGGTGGGCTCGTAGGTGCCGGCGAGGTAGTACAGGCCCTCGCTGTCCTGGTGCTTCTTGGTCTTGAGCATCTGCTCGTACTGCTCCAGGCCCACCACCAGGCACTTGTGCGACACAGTCTGCACGTCGTTCTCGTCCACATGGGACGACTGGTACAGGGCGCGCTGCAGGCAGGGCAGGCAGGCAGCGTCAGGGGCGCGCTGGCGGGTGGGGAGAGGGAGGACCCCTCCCGGACCAGAGGACCAGGAAAGCGTGGGACAGAGACCCAGACAGGGTCCGAGGACAAGGATGGGCAGACTAAGAGAGACCCACAGACTGAGGGAGACCCAGAGACAGATTGAGAGATGGAAGGAAACAGACATAGACCAAGGGAGGCAGGCTGGGAGACAGAGACCAGGAAACAGCAGCTCAGAGGCCAAGGGGACACTGGAGCAGGCCCCTTCAGGCTGCGTGGGGAGGGCTTGAGGGGGTGCCCCGCTTCCTGCCCAGGGCCCGCAGCCCTCCTTCCTACCTCCATGAAGTCCTTCCTCTGGCTGGAGGCCCGCAGGGCGGCAGGGAGGCCGCGGCCAGACTTCTGGTCCCAGTGCTGTGCGCAGACAGGGCAGTGGTGAGCCCGGGCCAGCCTCGACCTCCCCGCTGCGCCCACCCAGCCGGCCGCAGGCTCACCTGGCCCTCATGGAGGCGCTTGCCCGGGCTGGTCTCCTCGGGGTGGTAGAACCACTTGACGCGCACCACCATGTTGCTGCCCCAGGACTCCCACATGCTCTGGATGCGGCCGATGTAGGGCAGGTTGGGGCGGCCGGCCGACAGGAACACTGCGCAGTCCCCAATGCGGATCATCTCCTTGCCGCGCACGATGGCCTTGTAGAAGAGCTTGCGGGCCTTGCCCTTCATGCCTCGGCGCTGCAGGACAGGTGGGGCGGGTGGGGCGGGTGAGGGAGAGGCCCAGGGCCCCTCCAGAAACTGGGGCGAGGGGGGCTCTGCAGGGTGTGGGGCAGGAGGGAAGGGAGCTCCCGCCGGCCCTAATAGTGCCCTCTCTCATCCCTCTGGCGTACAGACTGTGTGTCCAAGGGAACTTAAACTAAGCATCCCAGTGTTAAGAGGGTGACAACTGCCCGCTCTACAGCAGCGCTGGCAAATGGTGCCCCGAGCCCAGCAAGTGCCCACGTCCTCTGTGAACCCAGCAGTAAGTATCCTGGCTCCTCTCACTGGTCCTGACACCAGCCTTCAAGGCACAGCCAGGTCCCGGCTGACCCCCAATTTCCAGACAGGGGCAGTGAGGTTCAGGGAGGAGACGTAGGCAGTGAAGCTCTGGACAGCACGTCACTCAGCCAGCATGGCTGTCTCGCATGTGGGGGCTGCCACCAAGCACCCCTCCGGGGTCACAGAGCTCAGTCATCACCTCCCCTCAACAGCCTGACCAGGGGTGAGACTGGGGTGTGGGCTGTCCCTGGGACAACACCAACACCCAGGCACAGCCAACTCCCCGCAGTGGCTCAAAGCCAATTTCTTTTTTTACCTAAATCAGACAAACCTACATGCTAATTTCCTCCCTTTTCTAGCGGTCCCCTTTCTATTGGGTTGTCAGAAAACATAGAAAAAATACGTCATGACTTGTCCAACAACCCAATACTTTTAATTTACTGGATCCCTGGTGGTGACTGGCTTTTTGATGTCCCTGTCACCAATTTCTTGTGTTCTATAAACAGCTCAAGTTCTTTTCAGCTCAAGGCACGGTGTGAGTCAATTCAAGGTGAGATGGATGGCTATGGCTTCTAAACTGACTTGCTTTGACATCAGTTATGTCTTGGACATCCAGCAGCTAACGCCCCTTCCTACACACCCCACCCCTTGGTCCCTGGGGCTCCCCAGTAGGGCTGATCCCCCCCTGCGGCAGGCACAAGGCTTGGTCTGGCCAGTCTGGACATCCCGCCCTCCTCCTGGCCTTTGTAATGAGCTCAGGGGTGGGCCCAGGACCAAAGCCAAAGACATTCCACCAACTTTAGCTTGAACCCCTGGGAGGAAGACACATCCTTCCTCCTGTCACTTCTAAGCTGGTAGAATGCAGGCTGAAAGCTACTAGGGCTTCCTGTCCCGAGAAAAGGAAGACAGAGACAGACTGAAGCCTGAGGCATGGGCTCGAGATAGCCTTCAAGCCCCCGCCTAGATCCAGCTGTACCAACACCAGTCATCCCTGGACTTTTTCTGTTAGAGGCCAATAAACTTGGCCCTGTGCTCTGTAGTAGTAAGAGCA